TATTAAAAAAAAAAAAAGACTGGGCTTACTGGTCAGGAAGAGATTAGAAGAGCCTAAGACTATGGCCTTTATCTAATTTTTGAGTTTCAAAAGAAATTTATCCTTGTGACCCAATTTTCAGCCAGGCAATAGATAGGTACACAGGTGAAACAACAATACTAGTAAGATATGCTCACTATAGAATAGTCAATCATTCAAAATCAAAAGGGCAACATTCACCTATGATCATAGTTGAAAAAGGATGGGATGTTGGGTGAAATGGAAATAGAAACCACAGTAAGGAAATGGGATAACTGTTGTTGCATGGAAGGGATTGCAATCTTTGAGATGAAACAAAGTATATAATTTGCTGAATATAAAACTCATGATATTGTCTGTAAAGCTTCACTCAATTCATAATAAAAAGTTATTTATTTATTTATTTAATAAGAATTAACTGGAAAATTCCTGGCATCTTGGCCAGAGAATTAGGATAAATATAGGTAAGCATTTTCTATTTTTCATTGCACTTGAGCTTTACTGCAATTGCATTAGGAAATTCAAGTTTATCATCTCTATTTTTGTATGCAGACTTCACTCCCACAGTATGATATTTTATTTTTACTTTAAGAGAAACAACCTTTTCAGTTAGTGCTGAGAACTATCACTGGGGCAGAAAACTCAGTATGAGTGAGCTAGCTCGAGAATTGAGATCCTTGTATTACTGCACATTAGTTATTATAGTTAAAAAAAACTGAAAACCTAAACCTGACATTCTAAACCATCTCATGAGTGGGATGCATTACCTACTATATGATAAATGGTAAAATACCCAAAATAAAGAGATTAAGGGACTAGATGCCAAAATAAAAGATTAGCGTAGAAAAAGGAATCTAGGAAATCCAAAGAAAATTACCTTTGGAAGAGAAAATATATATTTTGGATAAAGAAATTAATCTATTATCAAGTAATATGAGTATAAAACACTTTAAAAGAACTAGTGATACAGTTGCATGTGTGTGGATTGTGGTATGGTTTGTGGATGGGAATACACATTAAATAGCATTTTTGTTGCCAGTGAATTGGTACCAACTCATAGTGACCCTATATAATAGAGTTTCCTAGGAGAGGCTGATGAGCTTGAACCACCAATCTCGCAGTTCAAACCGACCTTGCAGTCCAGCACATTAACTCACAGTGCCATACCAGGACTCCATAAATAAGCATAGGCATTTTGAATTTATGTACATACAAAATGCTCTCTTTTCACATATGTGAGTATGTGAGTCAGTGAGTGCATGCGTCTGTATTAACCAAAATAAATTTTATCTATTTTATCTTCAGATGGCAGAAAAACACATAGGTGATGTTGTTCCTATCTCTTAGTAATGTTTTTGAAATAAAAATGTGTTAGTTTTATAGCAAAATACTTATATTTAAAATTATATAAATTATACATTAATTTATTTGTCAATAACATATCATAAATACTCAAAGGCCAGTTTCATAAACTTTAAATATAGCACTTGTTTACAAATTAGATGAACATTATTTTTTAAATTGTTGTATAACATTGACTTTAAGAAATAAAACTGTAGAGTCATTTGAAAATGTTCTACTGAGAAAAATAAAAGATAATTTCAATCATACACCATTCAAAGGGTATTGGTTCATGAGAAGGAGGCAAGACTTATTTAGACATCTGGGCCACAGATGATCTTGAAACCATCTGCATGAATTTAAACAAACAAAACTTGGATGAATGATAGACAACATAAGAAAGTTTACTTGTATTTTTATAATTGAAAAAAAAAATCTAATTGCTTAAATTTTTTCACAAATAGGAAATGTAGCTACTTTTCTTATTTTAAAGTTCATATCTCACTTTTGGGTCAGCACTGGACTGAGAAACACAAGGTTGGCAATTCAAACTCACTAATCCTTTACAGGGTTGCTATGAGTTGGAACTGACTTGATGGCACTTAATAACAACACCTCACTTTTCAAAAGGTCATACATATATATATGTGAAAAACCTTTAAAACATTCACTTGGTTTGTATATAAAATAATTTCATCCATTGCATAAAGTTTGAAAATATGGATATCGTAGAGGTGAAAACAAAAACCCTCCCTAATGTAATCACTGCAAAAATAATGTCAATTTTGCATCTGCAAGGCTTCATTTTACCAAATAATTTCTCCCAGGATGCCCACAGTTTCCAGCAATTGGTGTGTAGTTACCTTTGGAGAAAATACCACATAGTAGCCGGTTCCCTTAGCTCTGCAGGTCAGTTTACACACATCTCCTGGCAGGACACCTGCATATTTGGGAACCCATTCCACAAAGACTTTGACTCCTTTTGCATCAGACTGATACCCATTTTTGGCCTCACACTGCTCTTGACGAAAAGATTTACCTAGAAAACAGACATGTTCTTATTATTGCTTTATTTTTTCTTAAACTTATGTATATTCTGATACATTTAAGTAATTTTTAGGAAAAAAAATGTTATTTTTGTTTTGAAGAGCTTCCTATGTATCACTGTTGAAGAATTTGAGCTAGCTGTATATAGATAAAACAGCAGCTATTTTCTTCCAAATCCTCAATTCTCAAATTAGTGTTCATAACAATTTTTCAAATCACCCATGTATTTTTTACTGATATGAACAGTGGTGGAAGTATCAGTTATAGATTAAAATTTCATTTGTCCAGCTGTTCCTATTTTACTAATGCTAGAATACAAACTATGCTTGGCACACAGTAATTGCTGACATTTGGGAACAGCATACCGTTGGGTGGGCAGGGCACCACACTACAGGAGCGGTAGATAGCCCTCTTTCCTGTGCAGTAACGACCATTATTTCTGGGTGCAGGGTTATTGCAGTGGCGATAGGCAAACTGAACTCCTCCTCCACAAGAACGAGAACATTGGCCCCAGGAACCCCAGGACCCCCAGTTGCCATGACTTGATGTCTGAAATAGAAAATAGAAGACATTTCAACTCAGAAGAGAGGAATATGTTCAAAATGTACATTTGGAAATCACTTGCATTTGATACAATGATGAACCTTCTTCATAGATTCAGTTTAATGTTCACTTTCATGGTGACCTCGGATATGAAATGCCCTGGAAATGTAAACTCTTTATGATTCTAGACAATTAATTTTTTTCTGACTTCCTTTTGACACTAAAAATTCTGAAAGTTTCTCCTGAAGTACTAAGAATAATGCAAGGATTAGCGTTTGGTTTCTCTGGACCATTTTATAATTATGCCTTTATAATTAATAAAAATGATATACATTTCCATTAGGAATCATAGAGCGTTTATCCATTATGATCCTGAATCTTCAAAGAACTGTATAGTGATAAAGATTTCGCATGATGTTGTGTATTATTTTATTATGCTTGCGTATTTTTTCTCCCTGTTTAGTCCTTCTCCATGATAGGCCCTCTGATACATACATAAACTGAATTTATGTTTGACTGAATTCCTAAGTAGATAACAGCCAACCTTATGGTTAGGAAATGTGACCGATATGGGGCACATATCACAGAGAAGAATGAGTCCTATATGACACCCAAAGTCCATTACTCTAGAAACACTATAGGCAGAAGCAGAGAGACCTCAAAAGGAAAAAGACTACTTAACCTCTGTGCCAAAGGATTACATGAATCACTTCCTTTGGCTGTCTATGCTATACCTGAGAATACATGGCTATATTGTAGTGTTTGAAAGACATAAAACAAAACTAACTCCATAGTTTTTGAGTGGATTCTGACTCATAGAAACCCTGCAGTATACAGTAGAACTATTCTGTCGGGCCTCCAAAGATACAAATGTTTACAGATGCTGACTGTCTCATCTTTCTCCAGTGGAGTTGCTGGATGAATTCAAACTACCAGTCTTTTGATTAAAAGTTGATCACTTTAACCACTGCACTACTAGGGTTCCTTGGAAGACATGTTGTGGCTGTTTTTCTTAAGCACCATAGAATCAGTTCCAATTCACAGAGACATGGCATAGGACTCCGAGGAGCAGCTGGTGGGTTTAAACTGTCAACCTTGTGCTGTTCTTACAGTGCCACATTAGGAGTCCTTGAATGATACAGGCAATGCTAATATGGAGTCCTGGTATGGCACTGTGGGTTAATGCCCCAGACTGCAAAGCTGTTTGAACTGCAAGGTTGGCGGTTCAAGCTCACAAGCTGCTTCTTGGAAACCCTATACAGGGTCGTTATGGGTCAGAAATGACTCCACAGCACTTAACAACAACTTAACAACAATATGGGCACATTCCTTCAGGGATTTTGAAAAACCTTCAAGTGATAGTGAATAATGGCTTACCTACAGCTTTGAACATCAAGGTGACCATTGCTGACCTGAAGTTGGCCTGTGTATATGTGTGTGATCAGGGATGTAGGTTACCTTAGCTCCTAAAATTAGATTAACTTGTTAGACCATTTTGAAACTCATTGCATATTCGTGTTGTTGTTGTTAGGTGCCATCAAATAGGAACTGTGATCTAGCAAACCTATGCACAACAGAATGAAATGCTGCCCAGTCATGTACCAAATTCACATGTACCAAATCCTTGCTACATTTGAGCTGCTGCATTTGAGTGCTGCTGCCACTGTGCCAATCCATCTTGCTAGGGAGTCTTCCTCTTTTCCTCCAACTCTTTAAATAAATGTATTTTAATTAACTTTACTAACGGAAGTTTGAAAATAAACTATAAAAAAGCAATATAGGGGAAGTCCCTGGTTAATGTGCCCAACTGTGTTGTTAAGTGCTGTCAAATTGGTTTCAAGTCATACTGACCCTGTACAGGGTTTCTGAGGGGCAACTGGTAAGCTTGAACCTCCAACCTTGTGATTCAAACCTGCTATCCTAAAAAGGTTGGAGATTGGAGTCTACCTAGGAGTACTTGGAAGAAATGCCTGGTGAGCTATTGAAAAAATCAGCCATTGAAATCTCTGCTAAATGAATGGACAAACAAAATGTGGCACATTTACATATAAGAGAATCTTATATGTGAAATTAATTTTTGATGCATGCCACAACAAGGATAAACCTTGTTGAATGAAATCAACTAGCCAGATAAGGACAAATACTGAATGATCTCATGTATAGAAAAATAAGCAAACATAGATACCCCAAAGCTTATCAGTAGCTACTAGGCATTGGGGAGAGGAAGTAATGGTTAGTTTTTGCCTGTAGGTGCATAGAGCTATGACAATGGTAGTAGAAGTATTAGGAAAATGACAGGGATAAGGATTGTGTAACATGAAATGTATAGTCAATGTCACTGAATTATGTATATAGAAACTGCTGAATTGGTAAATGTTTATTGTGTATGTTTGCACTACAATTAAAAACAACAACAACCACCTTATGGAGCACAGGTTTACTCTGACACATATGGCGTTTCCACAGATCAGAACTAAGAGCAACCTGTTTTGCTTCATGTCTCAAGTAGACCAAATCTGGAATATATATTTAATTGTTAAAGGATATAATCAAACAGGTGAAGAATACCTACTGGCTGCATTTTCAACAGTACTTGATTACTGAGAATGCCTACTGTAGATGAAGCTGAAAATAGAAGCTAAAGGAAAAGTATTTTAAGTAGGAGATAAAACACTCTGAAGACAGTGCCCATACATATCCGATCTTTGATCTCCAGGCATTGTGACATTAAAATCACTTACTGAGTAATATTTTTTCTTGGTTTTGTCCACACACTTGCCCTGTAAGCAGATCCTCCCTTTCCCACACGGTGTCCCTTCCACGGCAGGCAGCTTCTTGGTCAGACACACCATCTGACCCTGGCGCACCACTGCACACCACAGACGTGCACAGACATCCATCCCAGGACACACCGTGTACTCAGGCCCGAATGTCAGGTTGCACTGCTGTGTGGCATCATATGTCTGCCCTGGAAGTTCTTCTGGGCCTAGTATCTGCTTTCGTGGTATGTCTAGCAGGCAGTTACCTAGAAGAAGAACCAAGACTGACCACTGCTTTATGTTTAGGTTTCAAACCACTAAAATCACAGGCCTAAACATGCAATATTCTCACAGGTTTGGGAGCATCATGCGCCAACCAGTCTCCAGCGTGGAGAACTGCAGAAGGGACTCAGTGAGGGATATGGCTCTAAGAGACTTCTTGCACTCACCAGCTACCCTCCAGGATTCTCACTGGGGCATGAGCTCCAGACTACGAATATTGTGGAGATGTGGCTGGCAGTGCCATATTGAAATAAAATTACTTTACAACACATAACTGTGAAAATATCCATTGTATTGAGACACTAAAAGAAATCAAGATGGACCTAGAGGAAATAAAAAAGTGGACTTAATAATGATACTTTTTTATAAAAACATTTACTTTTCAAGTTTCAGAAACAGAGTTCATTCTTGGCACTCTATTTATACCCATTCTCCATGTCCAACTTCCTCATCTATTTCAAATCTCCTTCCCACTGATCCCATAAATAGCAACCAGGTGATAACCTCATTCTTTTTTTTATGTGTTTGTTTGTTGTTTTATAAAATCCTGCTTTATTTTTGTACCCACTGAATAAGCATTTGTTTAGCACCTATGATGTTCTAGAAAACAAACACTGGAGATATAGAAAAAAAGGTCCAGTTATTCCTCTCCTGGGAACTCAGAATGAAGGAGATAGACTAAATAAAATATTTCTCCCAGACTGGTGAGAATTTTAATAGAAAGCTTTTAAGATTCACAGAATAAAGAAATACTGGGCAAAGAAAAGAAACAAACTGATAATTTGAGTATAGAACAATATTTTAACTCTTGTCTAGTCTCTTCCATTTTTGTCTACTATTTTTTGAGATTTATATTGGTGGGCTTGTGGAGTATTTGGAGTGTGTTTGAAAAAATCAGGTTAGTGCTCCGACTGCATGGTGACTTGGGCAGTAAGTGGGCAAACAGTGATGAAATGAAAAATCAACGGAATCTGGTTTATGGATGGTGTAAATTCAGACCCTGAATGTTTCTTATCTCCCCCTCAAAAACTCCTAAAATTCCAGCCCCAATTAGCTAGTACCTTCAATTTTCTCCTGTTGTATGCTAGCTAGCATGCATGCTGCCCATATCTTTTTTTGTTTGTTTACCCAATTCTAAGATCTACACATTTGTTAGACTAGCAGTAAAAATAGCAACAAATCATTATTACATTGTTCTTAGTACTGAATATGTAGTAGTTCATTGAAGGAATCCTCGTGTGGTGTTGTAGAGAAAGCACTGGACGGCTAGCTAATTGCAAGATCTGTGGTTCAAATCCACCAGTTGTTCCTTGTGCAGAACTGACTCAACAGCATTTATCAACTATTAACAGCAGTTCCTTTAAGAAACCCTGTAGAACAATGGTTAAAAGCTCAGCTGCTAACTGAAAGGTCAGGGATTCTAATCCACCAGCTGTTTCACAGGAGAAAAGACCTGATGTTGTGCTCTATTTACAAAAAGATTCACATCCTAGGAAATTCCACAGGGCAATTCAACTCTGTCTTACAGGGTGTCTATGAATGAGAACCAACTCTAAGGCATACAAAACAACAACACAGTTTATTCATTCTTTATGAAAACCTTATAAATTAGGTTCTATTAACTTCCTTATTTTGCAGATGAAGAAACTGAGGAACATAAAGAACAGATGAAGTTTACAAAATTATTAAGATTTTATTCTCACAGTCTTTCCTGTTTATCACAACCTATTAGTGGTTATGAGTCGGGCTGCCAACCTTAAGGTCAGCAGTTCGAAACTACCAGTTGTTCCATGGGAGAAACAAGGCTTTCTGCTCCCGTAAAGATTTACAGCCTTGGAAATCCTGTACAGGGTCGCTATGAGTCGGAACCGACTCCATGGCACATAACAACAACAACATTATATTATAGTATTCTTGTTAATAGCTGTATTATTTTGTTACTAGAGGACAGGCATGTGTAGACAGTTAACCAATTGCCACAGAATTGGTTATGAATCATGGCAATCTTGTATCTGTCAGAGTAAAGCTATGCTCTATAGGGTTTTCAATGGCTTAGTTTTGAAAGCAGATTGCCAGGTCTTCTTCTGAGATAACTCTAAGTGGATTCATACCTTCAACCTTTTGGTTACCAGACAATCATGTTAACTACTTGGACCACTATAAGGAACTTTTAAGTGATACATATTCTGCCAAATGGCAGAAACATCAATTGAAAGTCTAGTCCAGTCTAAATATTAAGTGGAACTCTTGCCTCCTAATCTATTTTCAAGATTTTTGAAATGTTTCTTTCTTCACTGGGGCACTGTAAGGGTGAAATGAGCCAACAGTGATATACAAAGGATGACAAAAAAAATATGAAACATATGATACTTAGTATATATTATGCCTAATACTTTTTATAATACTTTAGATGTATTCTAGTCTTTTTATTCAACAAAAGAAAACCATAGTCAAAGCACACTTTCCACTGAGAGGTGGTCATTCAGCATGCTTTATGCTTATTACAAATGTAAAAACTGCATTCAAGCCTCTTCAAAAGGAATACCTTAGAATTTGTCAATCTGTGATGGAAGCATTATATGAAAATGAATAAAGAGCAAAGTTCCTATTTCACTTCTGAGCCAGAACGTTTGAAGAGGTAAGTGTTTTAAGGCAAGCCAGAAAAAGCATTAAAAATAAGTATGTAGCCAAAGAGAACTTTGGGATAAAAACATCAAGTTAAAAGAAAAACAGTGTCAAGCCAGTATGAAAGAATGATAGTAAAACTCAGTAAGTTTTGTTTAGAAGACAGAGTAAAGTTAGGCTTAACTCAGAACTCTATGAAAGACACAGTCTTCATTGTTATATTTAAAAACAAAAAGATTATTGTGCAAACCTGGGAATGCATTGTCAGACTGCTGATGTGAGAAAATTGTCAACAAATCTCTGAGACAGCAAGAATGCTGTCCAATTCTTCAAAAGTGCTATTGTAAGAAACTTTTTTACTTTACTAAAAAGCATAAACTGTAAGACTAGGTAACTAAATATTAGCTGGGAAGTCTTTAACATGTGTGGGTGCATGTGGCATATGGCTACCTCATTTATCTAGAGACAAAATAACTCACCATCTCCCTATGATCCACAGCCATAGAAACTCATTACACCTCAGTGATAGATGACAAGCGGAAATAAATGTAGAATGTGAACAATTTGAAATCAGCTTATAAATAAGGAGATTTCAAGATGTGGCATTTATTTTCAAAGCTTTATATTGAAGTATATTTTTCTTTTTTTTTTTTAATGTTTTATTGTTATATGATAGTTTACACGAGAGAACTTTAGTTTTACATTCATTCCATCGTATATCACCTCATTGCCATGGTTCCAATCCCCTCCATGCATCATCTACCAACCAAAGGGTATATCCTAGAAACCCGCCCCCTACACTTCCCCCTCCCCCCAGTTTTCGGCCCACAGTCCCTTTCCCTCTCTGGATCCAAAGTCCCCAGCTGCTTCATTACTCCATGTCATCATCTCTGTCTCCAACTCAGGCATCTCTGTTTTTCTGGGTAGGGTCCCGCTCTTGGCTGGCTCTTCTCCGTTGATGGTCTCAGAGACCTCTGCTCCTAGCCTGTAGAATTAATCACTCCCTTCCTTATTACAAAATGTCTACCTTTGCATTTCCAACCCTCATAATCCGTCCTGATAAGCATTATTCACTACAGTATCACGAGTTACCCATCTGTATTTCCTTACATCAGCTCCGCCCAGACAGATTGATTAGTACCCACTGGAGATTCTGCCTTCCTCCATGCTCCCTAGCACTAGGTTCCCTCTTGAAAGCTTATAAGCCAGTCACTTCTTGCCTTTGTAGTCCCTCCCTCTCCATTTGAGTATCCAATGTCCAAGTTGCCCATCTCTGTCCACTCTGTGTGTGGAGGGGGTGGGAATGATTCTTGCTGTAAGGATTTGTTTCTTCTTTTGAGTTGTTGCTCCATAGGGATAGGTCAAGTTCATCAGATTGTATCAGCTCACTTTTTTTTTCCCCCTCTTCTTTCTTCTCCTGGTTGAGCTCTGATCATCCAGTCATCTGGTCCAGGTCAAGTGAGTATTATCTGCAAGTGTGGGCGCTCCTGTGCACATGCCCTCTCTTCCCATCAGCTGGTAGCTCCACTCTCCTCTTGAGTCCTCCGTGGCCATGCCACTGACTCTGGGCCCAAGAGTGCCCAGGTCTCCTCACACTGCTTGCCAACCAGGTCTCCAACTGGGTCCACAGAAGTTCACTGAACACCGTGGGGCTTAGCATGCCGCTTCATTGCTGCTTTTACCCCACTTCCCCCCATCGATGATGTGTGTGGTCACCAATCAGAGCGTGCATTTCCGTTGAGTCTTAGTCTTGGAAGGGGGTTTGCATTGAGAAGACTTGGCCTCTTGCCTTGATGTTTCCTAGGGAAGTGATTTGTTTGTTCTTGTAGTAACAGTCCATCTGCCTCCATTTTTCCTTCTTTCTTTCAAGAGGTATCCTTTATTCTTCTAGCCGCTCCAGGCTGGTCTGCTCGTCCTTTCAAGTGGAGATTTCTCATCTCTGGAGTTCTGGATGTGGTTCCGGTTTCTACCTATAGTTTTATGTATTGCAAAGGCTCTGCAGGAAGGCTCTTTCACTGGGTACGCTGTAGCCCCATTTTAGGTATTCCAATCAATCATAGGCAGAAGACGGACTTAGAACCGAAGTATATTTTAAAAAAAATGATTAATGCATTTGCTTTGTTATTAAAAATATATCAGCTTTGCAGTATTCCCTGGCTGACATCCAGAAGTTACCTTTTCTTGCTAAAAATAAAAAATCATTTATTTCCAAATTGCCACTTGGTTATTATCCCCAAATTTTCTATATTAGGAATTTTTGCTGCATCCATTTGATGAACCTCAAACATGTACTTTATTTCATTTTTATGGAGAATTATGTCCTTTTGCAATAAAAGAGGTACAGAGATTTTTACCATAT